CCCTTCCAGGCAAACGGGAAGAGTTAGAATTCTAAACAGGATACAAAGGATACTATATTTTGACAGGCTTGGGGATAATAGGTTGTGCAACGTTTGGGTAGTCCGATCGCATGATATTATAAAATTAATTTCAAAATGTTGACTATTTGTGGGGAGTTACCCGAAGGTGTGGATCGATATTTCCCATCTTCAAACTTGATTTAAGTTTAAAAAAATATTACGATGAGCAAAGTTTGGGTGAAATCGGTTACTCCTTCGAGAGTTATCGTGACTCGAAACTCCTCCAAATTGTCTGAAACGGATTTGGTTCAAAGAAACATGGGGTATAAAACCAATATTTCGATGAGGCATATTTTTGCAGTAGAAAAATCATTAGCCATAAGGCTGAGTGTATAAAAATCTTAGGAGCCGCTCTTGTGTATATATAAATTGGTGTAGGGTATCATATGGTATTTTTGCTTTCTTATATAAAACAATACGATTTCTTGAAGTTTTTCAAAAATCGTAAGATTATTATTCTCATAACAACCTTTAAAACGCGTCAAGTTCTCAAGATATGTACAGCGCAATGTATGTGAATACACATCATTTCACGATTAATTAGCCGTTTTTCCTATGGTATAAAAATACGTGTGTGTGAACTTATTTAGTACGGGGCACATAATTATAAATTGTGACCATCTCTACCAACACCACTATTATATTATTTAATCTATGTTATATCGTACACGTTATATTCATTTTTCTCTTATTTTTGCTGTCACTAACAAATGTCCTCAAGGGACAACAACTCTTCAGCTATTTTAAGTATATTTTCTCAGTTTACAGTTTCTTCGTGTTAACGCTGACCTTTAAGACATTTTTAGTGTTAAAAGATGGATATGTGTGCATAAACATTGACCGTAATAGTAAATAAGACATATATATTAAATCATAAATCTTTAAATTTTAGTTAAACAATAATTTTATATTGAAAGAAAATTCACGTCTTCAAATTGTTATTTTAAGATTACTGTTTTGTATTTTGTTAACGCAAAATACACTTCATTTTCAACAAGAGAAGGGACTATTAATGGAATTAGAAGTACATAATAATTATATACAGTTTCTACATTATTTAATAAAAGGAATGATATGATATAAAAAAAAGCAATCCTTCGAATGCAAGTGGGTGGTAATATATTGGACTGGACATTGACTATCCTCTTATAATCGCCCTGCTCAAGTTCTTCCAAAATGTTGCTGAAAGTCAACGGCAAACTTCTGTTCTACATTGAAAACTGGCAAAATAATAGTAGGCTATTTTGCCGCCGACCTTTTAAAAGACAGCAAACTTAGCGGGGGAATACATCTCTATTCATACATTATAATTACCTAAATTTTGTTGTGGACATAACTTTTAATAGTTTTCTACCAAAATAATTTATTTCGATTAAACTAAAACATACATTAACTTTTTTGTTCAATCATAAATATTTAAAACAAAATTTTTTGAAAGGGTTTATTTTTTCTTTAAAAATACGTGAAACTTTCTTTCTGCTTTAAATGCAACTTTCGGATTATGACACAAAATAAATATGAATAAACAACTAGAAGACAACTTTTCTAATTCAACAAAAATAAAATATTAATTATCAGATATTGATAGAAAACGTTTCTTACATATAAACTTTATTTTTATAAACCCAGCCTTACGGCTAAAATATCTGTCTGGCTGGATGCTGCGCACGATATCTCTTGAAAGAAACAATGGATTCAATACAAATTTGAATATCGTTATATTTCTTCCTTACCTAACTAAAGTTCGAAGATGATGAATGTCAGATCACTCCTTTGGGAACCTCCCCTATTTTGCTGAAAAATAAATTTCCACTTAATAATAAATAACATCTACTTTGATCCCAATTTTTCAAATCCTAATATTTGACATATTACAGCTACAGTGGTGGTTACGTAATTGAAACATTAATTGTGGTAAAAAGGTTTTGATCAGCCCTTGATTCATTGGAAATATTTATATATATATTTTTTTAATCCAGAACACATAGATATACAGCATTTAAGAGATTTAGTGTGAAAATAGAAAATTATTGCGTTGCAATTTTTTCATAAATAACTTTTTTTATGAAAAAATGTTTTTAAAAAACTCATTAATTTTGTTAAATTAAATAAACTTAGCACCGATAAAATCATTTTCAGATAAAAAATTTAAAAAAAAATCCGCAAAATTGGTCAAAATTGGCAACAATTTGTACAGTACACTTAACATTCGGAAAATCACCCTTAATATAGAAAATAAAGGCCCGAATCGGTTCAGATCTAGATATAGCTCCCATATATATTTTCGCCCGGTTTAATGTAAATGGAGTACCAAAGTCCCTATATATTTCGATTTGAACGAAATTTGACATAGCGTACTGAATTGAGTCTAGAATGATGTGTGTAAAGTTTCTTGAAAATCGGTTGAGATTTAGATATAGCTACCATATATATTTTCGTCCGATTTATGGTAAATGGTTCATCAAAGTCCCTATATGTCTTTCGACTTATTTAGATTATTCAGATTTATATATAGCTCTCATATAGAGTAACTTCGGGTAATGTGGACCACCATTTTCTTTTTTTCATATTGTGGGCGTAACAACGGTAAAAAATAATTCTCATGCAGTTTATGTCGTTGGTCAGCTAAGTACTTCGCTTTGTTACAAGAGACATTTGGGTATGAAAGGTTTTTTGTATAGAAGCAATAGCTTCTGGGGAGAATATCCCAACAAAAAACGAAGGGAACTGATGAGGATCAGTGGCGTGATCCGAAACTATAGTCTTCCCTGCCTTACCCCTCGGCAAACAATGCCATACATTCCCCACTAATAAATAGTTGTTTTTTATAAAAACAACAAACTGGGATTCAGCCTGACTATTTTGCAAAAACAAAATACAAATGGTATCCCAAATAAACCGCCAACACTACTGAAGTTGTAGACGCAGGCACGGTTAAACTGTTTGGTTTGTTGCTGTACACTAGCAACACCAACAAAGTCGTTGTGTGCATTTGTCGCGATGTGACAACACACAACAGTGGGAAAGGTGTGGTATTGTTTGTAAATGCCTTGTTAACCTCGAAGTGAGGCTCCAGCGAAATTCTCATGCAGTTTATGTCGTTGGTCAGCTAAGTACTTCGCTTTGTTACAAGAGACATTTGGGTATGAAAGGTTTTTTGTATAGAAGCAATAGCTTCTGGGGAGAATATCCCAACAAAAAACGAAGGGAACTGATGAGGATCAGTGGCGTGATCCGAAACTATAGTCTTCCCTGCCTTACCCCTCGGCAAACAATGCCATACATTCCCCACTAATAAATAGTTGTTTTTTATAAAAACAACAAACTGGGATTCAGCCTGACTATTTTGCAAAAACAAAATACAAATGGTATCCCAAATAAACCGCCAACACTACTGAAGTTGTAGACGCAGGCACGGTTAAACTGTTTGGTTTGTTGCTGTACACTAGCAACACCAACAAAGTCGTTGTGTGCATTTGTCGCGATGTGACAACACACAACAGTGGGAAAGGTGTGGTATTGTTTGTAAATGCCTTGTTAACCTCGAAGTGAGGCTCCAGCGAAATTCTCATGCAGTTTATGTCGTTGGTCAGCTAAGTACTTCGCTTTGTTACAAGAGACATTTGGGTATGAAAGGTTTTTTGTATAGAAGCAATAGCTTCTGGGGAGAATATCCCAACAAAAAACGAAGGGAACTGATGAGGATCAGTGGCGTGATCCGAAACTATAGTCTTCCCTGCCTTACCCCTCGGCAAACAATGCCATACATTCCCCACTAATAAATAGTTGTTTTTTATAAAAACAACAAACTGGGATTCAGCCTGACTATTTTGCAAAAACAAAATACAAATGGTATCCCAAATAAACCGCCAACACTACCAAAAATAAAAACAATTTGTTTTCACAACATAGTAGATTTGTTGGCTAAATGTATTCCAGGTCAAAGATTATATATATTTGTTTATAAAAATGTTGTTGCATTGTATTTCAAAAACTCTAAACTGCGAATAAAAATAACTTGGCGGATAATGTGGACCAGTATGTGTGGGCAATGAGGATCAGTAAGTTAAAGGTAGGTTGTGAATTGGTTGTGATCAATTTCAATTTATTGCACTCTTGGGTAACAATGAATGCAAAAATATATGGGTTTATGTTTTGGAATAGGCAAATATATATAATGTTCGACCTGGAATATATTTAGCCAACAAATCTACTATGTTGTGAAAACAATTTGTTTTTATTTTTTACCGTTGTTACGCCCACAATATCAAAAAAAAAAGAAAATGGTGGACCACATTACCCGGAGTTACTCTATCAAATGTTCTATAAATCGATGTACATAAATTGTCTCATTGTACGTAAGCGACTTTAAATCCGAATAAACTGAAGTTTAGCATGTGCATTAATTGATGTTATTCGTTTGTTATATAGATATAGGTCACATATTTAAATTTGTTCAATTTCCCTCGAAGGAACATTAACATGAAAATATTGGGATACATATCACCAAAGCGGTGAAGGGTATCATATAGTCGGCCCAGCCCGACTTTACTACTTTCCTTACTGGTTTTATTTGTATTTGATAGATGAGTTACATATTAATTTCTTTAAAAAGACTACCTTACATAATTACACCATGAATTGTCCAATAGATATAACATTAATATTTTTAAATCAAATCTAACGTTAAATTAAATTATATGTATGCTATTTGAAAATAACAGAACTATTTTTGGTTTGTAGCTTTTCACACAAAAGCTTAGTGGTGGAAATAAACGTCTGCTGGTGAATAATATCTGCAACAGCTGTTCAAAGGTGCTACAAACAACAAACACACCGAATTAGTCAAATATCGTCTTCTGCCGCCCCATGCAACGAAAATAAAAATAGTCGCAAAAGATAAGTGAAGAAGATAAACACAACTCAACTTGTTAAAAAGATAAAAAAACACCGGAATGAATTTTTCGTACATGAAAATAGCAATTTATGTATTAACATTTATTACGTACGCATATTCCGGTTACGGCTCCAGCACAATTGCCCACTTAAGAGATGCTATTATTGCCGCAGAGGCCATATTTGGAGATGTGTTCTCGAACTTCATTACCCTCAGTAAAAAGTTCCGCACCGTCCATGAGGTGTTTGATGCTGCTGTAGAGGAAACGTGTGTATTTAAATGTCCAGTGGAGGAAGGAGCGCCGGGTATGTATTTCTAAACATCAAAATTAATGACGTTGTTGCTTTTAATTACGTAAATATTATTAAAAATCATGAAATCTCTCAGCGTAATGAATTTTTGTGAGCTGTCATAAATCGTTTGTGCCCTGCCGTTTGTTTATTTTAAGCAACATCGCTCATCATTTGAGGGACGTCCGACCGACCATACTAGAGACTCTCATCATCATGTACGTCATTTGTTTACATGTTGTTGTTGTTGTTTTTTTTTTAATCTAACAGAAATATTCACATCCAGCATTTTCATATCAGCTGTTTATGTTAACGCACTATTCTTGTTTTAGAACAAACTAATTCCAGCAAAAGCTTTTCACATTTGCTAGTAAAATGTAAACCGTTAGCACGTTGTATTAAATATAAATCATGAGTGTACACATCCTGTGGTACGTTACTTTAATGACGAAACAGCTGACAAGAATAGCATACGTGGTTGAATAGTCAAAGCGAACGTGTTCCAATAAGAATTATTGCAAAGTAAAAGCTTATATTCAATATGGTACAGAAAATATATAATAGATGTCGCTCTTAGGAAGATGTATACAACAAAATAATTTCAAAGACATAGAAACCGTAAAGACTCGACATTTTGTGTGGGAGGTACCAGAAGAAGTGGACCGATATCCTCATCTTCGAACTTCAAACTATGTTTCGAAGAAATATTGCGATGTGAGAGTTATCGTGCGCACCAGCCGGCCAAACAGACGAACGGTCATTTATAAATCGATTCCAAATAGTCTGAAACGTATTTGGTCCAAAGAAACATGAGGTCTAAAACCAATAGTTCTATGAGGCAAATCATAAGGCTGAGGGTATAAATATAAAATAACAGGCAATTTGAATAAAACACGTGCCTAAACAAATTTCGAAATTTGGGATGTAGGGCTACCCTAAAACAGGACCAATATTGATAATTTTTAGATTTTCTACCCATTGAGGACCCAAAATAAAAAATCGTTCCTAAAAACTCCAGTGAGAATTCAAATTACAGTTGATTATGTTGAAAAATGTGCCCCAAAAGGTCAAAATACCGAATTTGGGAGTAACGTTATATGGGAGCTGCCCTAAAAAGTGGACCGATATATTCCAAACAAAAATCCTAGGGGAATGGGACATAGCTCCCGAAATACTAACTTCGTAATTCTAAAATACAGTCACTTCGGTTGGAAAATGCGACGATGACCATCAAAATTCTTATCAAGGGATTATATCTTTATATGGGGTCTATACCCAAAGACATATCTGATTTATTATACCAACAGTTAAAAATCTTGTTCAAAGGAACGATAATCGTGCTCAAAATACTGAGCCGATTTTATCATTGTTTAAGAGATGTGGTTGTAGGTCACACATTAGTAGTGAACTAACGTAAGATATCGGACTGCAAGCATGTTAATTAAACATTAATTATAGGATTTTATTTCTGTAGAAATTAGAGTAACTTCTGGTAATGTGGACTATGCGTCAAATGTGGACCACCCCCCATAGCTAAGAAAATGCTTGAAATATGTCAATGCGGCCTTGATAATTGTTTTCCTAATTAATGAAAACAAACATCAAACTTGGTTTTTAATATACAATTGCAATTTTGAATATGTAGTAATAGAAAATGTAGCTCTGATTGTAAAAGTGTGATTTGAGCATTTTTTATACCCTCCACGGGTATGGAGGGTATATTAATTTTGTTTTTCCGTTTGTAACTCATCGAAATAATCATTTCCGACCCTATAAAGTATATATATTCTTGATCAGCGTAAAATTCTAAAATTCTACGATATAACCATGTCCGTCTGTCCGTCTGTTGTAATCACTCTATCGTCTAAACGAGTTGAGATAGATCGCAGGCAGGTCAAGTTCGAAGATGGGCTTTATCGGTCCACGTATTTTTCGGTATTTTGGGGTTCTTGAGCGCTTTTTTCAACCGAATTCGCTGAAATTTGCTACATTGGGTTCTTATTGGGTACTAAATGTCTCCACAAAAAATTATAAATATAGGTCCACTTTTTCTGGTAGCCCCCATATAACGGTACCTCCTAATTTTCAGTATTTTTTTTTTGGGGATTATGATCATATTTTTCCGCCGAATTAGCTGTAATTTAGTATTTTGAGTTCTTAATAGGTACTACATCTCTCCACAAAAAAATATGAATATAGGTTCATTTTTCGGATAGCCCCATATATGTTGTTGTTGTTTTTTTTTTAATCTAACAGAAATATTCACATCCAGCATTTTCATATCAGCTGTTTATGTTAACGCACTATTCTTGTTTTAGAACAAACTAATTCCAGCAAAAGCTTTTCACATTTGCTAGTAAAATGTAAACCGTTAGCACGTTGTATTAAATATAAATCATGAGTGTACACATCCTGTGGTACGTTACTTTAATGACGAAACAGCTGACAAGAATAGCATACGTGGTTGAATAGTCAAAGCGAACGTGTTCCAATAAGAATTATTGCAAAGTAAAAGCTTTTATTCAATATGGTACAGAAAATATATAATAGATGTCGCTCTTAGGAAGATGTATACAACAAAATAATTTCAAAGACATAGAAACCGTAAAGACTCGACATTTTGTGTGGGAGGTACCAGAAGAAGTGGACCGATATCCTCATCTTCGAACTTCAAACTATGTTTCGAAGAAATATTGCGATGTGAGAGTTATCGTGCGCACCAGCCGGCCAAACAGACGAACGGTCATTTATAAATCGATTCCAAATAGTCTGAAACGTATTTGGTCCAAAGAAACATGAGGTCTAAAACCAATAGTTCTATGAGGCAAATCATAAGGCTGAGGGTATAAATATAAAATAACAGGCAATTTGAATAAAACACGTGCCTAAACAAATTTCGAAATTTGGGATGTAGGGCTACCCTAAAACAGGACCAATATTGATAATTTTTAGATTTTCTACCCATTGAGGACCCAAAATAAAAAATCGTTCCTAAAAACTCCAGTGAGAATTCAAATTACAGTTGATTATGTTGAAAAATGTGCCCCAAAAGGTCAAAATACCGAATTTGGGAGTAACGTTATATGGGAGCTGCCCTAAAAAGTGCCCTATTCTTGATCAGCGTAAAATTCTAAAATTCTACGATATAACCATGTCCGTCTGTCCGTCTGTTGTAATCACTCTATCGTCTAAACGAGTTGAGATAGATCGCAGGCAGGTCAAGTTCGAAGATGGGCTTTATCGGTCCACGTATTTTTCGGTATTTTGGGGTTCTTGAGCGCTTTTTTCAACCGAATTCGCTGAAATTTGCTACATTGGGTTCTTATTGGGTACTAAATGTCTCCACAAAAAATTATAAATATAGGTCCACTTTTTCTGGTAGCCCCCATATAACGGTACCTCCTAATTTTCAGTATTTTTTTTTTGGGGATTATGATCATATTTTTCCGCCGAATTAGCTGTAATTTAGTATTTTGAGTTCTTAATAGGTACTACATCTCTCCACAAAAAATTATGAATATAGGTTCATTTTTCGGATAGCCCCATATAAAAGTACCCCAATTTTCGGTATTTTGGGGTTCTTGAGTGCGTTTTTCAACCGAATTTGCTGCAATTTCGTATTTTGTAGTCGTATATGGTAACAAATCTCCCTTCCAAAAATTATTAATATTCGCCCCCTTTTTGGGGTAGTCCCCATATAACCCCCTTTTTATACCCTCCACCATAGTATGGAGGGTATATTAATTTTGTTTTTCCGTTTGTAACTCATCGAAATAATCATTTCCGACTCTACAAAGTATATATATTCCTGATCAGCGTAAAATTCTATGACGATATAGCCATGTCGTCTGTCTGTTGTAATCACTCTAGAGTCTAAAGGAATTGAGATAGATCGCCAAAATTTTGCATAGAGTCTTTAGTCTGCAGGCAGGTCAAGTTCGAAGATGGGCTTTATCGGTCCACGCTTAGGCATAGCTCTCATATAAGGGTACCACCAATTTTGCGGTATTTTGGGGGGTTTGATCACATTTTTCCACCGAATTCGCTGAAATTCAGTACTTTGAGTACTTATTGGGCAGAAAATCTCTATATTAAAAATTATAAATATAGGTCAATGGCCCTTATATGGGGTAGCCCCCATATAAGGGCACCCCCAATTTTCGGTATTTTAGGGTTCTTGAGCGCGGTTTTCAACCGAATTCGCTGAAATTTGGTACATTGGGTTCTTATTGGGTAAAAAATTTCCCCACTAAAAATTATAAATATAGGTCCACTTTTTCTGGTAGCCCCCACATAAGGGTTCCTCCCAATTTCCAGTTTTTGGGGGGTTTTGACCGGATTTTTTCACCGAATTGACTGTAATTTAGTAATTTGAGTTCTTATTGGGTAGAAAATCTCTCCACGGAAAATTATAAATATAGGTAAATTTTTTCGGGTAGCCCCCATATAAGGGTAGCCCCAATTTTCGATATTTTGAGGTTCTTGAACGCGTTTTTCAACCGAATTCGCTGAAATTTGGTATTTTGTAGTCGTATATGGTTACAAATCTCCCCACCAAAAATTATTAATATTCACTCCTTTTTAGGGGTAGTCCCCATATAGTTATCTGATTTGCTTAGTGTGTTGGGGTTCGGTAGTCGTTACGGGGAATAGTCAATTTTTACTCTACAAAGACTATTTAGCTATTGTGATAAAAAAAATCAAACATATCGATAATGAAATATATCGGCAGACATTTAGGCATCTCCTCAATATAGTGATACCTCTTGAAGGAGAGAATCGAGATAAACAATTAAAATATTTGGTCAAAATTGGCATATACCGGTCATTAATTAGGCATAGCCCTCATTTAATAATATCCCCAAATATTTACTATTTCCTTCACTATGTAATCAATATTGGTCCCCCTTTAGGCATAGCCTCATATAACTTTGTAATCTAAATTACAGTAGTTTGAGGATTTTATACTCTATCGTGCGTTATCAGTATCAGTCTACTTTTAGGATCTTACAGAT